CGGGGAACTCTGCAAAAAACGCATCTTCGCACGGGCAGCCCGTGCGTTGGCCAATTTTTTAGGTTTCAGTAGCCCTCACCCTATTTGTAACACAGGGCTGCACGGGCAACCCTACCCGTTCTCCATAGATTTTTTTTTGGCAGATCGTGTAAGACACCAGCCGAGCCGAGCCGAGTTTTAGTAGTTGCTCAAAAATTTCTCCACCACTGCGACACAACGCTTGTCGATTAGCACAAAATGCACACAGAAGATGCAAGAGCTTCTTTTTGCTCTTCGCTTCCAAAAAATTCGAGCATTCGAAAAAAAGAAAAGTAATAAATAGCAGTCGTGCGTGGGTAGGCAGTCATTATCCTAAAATTTCAGCTTCGTAGATTTTGTGGTTCCAGAGCTAAAAATTTACTCGTCAAAATTGCAGTAATGGGCTTTCGTGTTTATAAAGCTGATGCTTAGTTAAAGCTGAGAGCTGTCACTTTTACCTGCGCAACTTTATTTTATTTGCTCTCAGCTTTACCTGAGCATCAGCTTCATGTAGGGTTGTCCCCTGCTGGAGACGAGTTTTATAGAACAATCTCTACTGGCAAAGCCTCAGTTTGTTTGCTGTTATTCACGGAGGTAGATTTACTTTAGTTTACTTCCCCATGTGGCGTTATGTCTTTTTCTCTTTACTCTCCAATTCTTGCTTCCAGCTGAACGGTAAAACAGGAGACGATTGATGCTTGCTGCCTGATCAACAAGTCCCGATAATAGTCGCTGTTCCAAGCTATCCCAAAAATGGACACAACCTTCTCATGAGCAGACAAGAGAGCGTTCAAAATACAGATGGGATTTACGCAGCAAAGCATAACTTCATCCGTCAGAAGCGGTGTGCTTGTTATGTTACTTTTTTACCTGAGCATGAATTTTTGAAAAATTTGTCTAATTAAAACTAAAACCCAGGCTGAAACGCACCAGGCTTACCGGTGCAATCATGCACTAAACTCGCAGATCGCTATTAGCGCTGTAGTCTAATATTTGGGCTCACATTGCCGCGCTCTGGCCTCTTCCATCATGTAGGAGAAAGAACGTCGGTTAGGATGAATGTGTTGCACTATAGGGCCGCATGGACCTCCAGGTACATGATTTTAGCAGTTTTTTGCATGAAGCCCCGTCGTTATTTCGGTAAATGTTCGCTTTTTGATAGAAAAGTGCAAATTTTTTGGGAAAAAATGCAAGTTCCCAGTTTACTAGGAAGTGGGAATATCGGTAGAGCGGTTTATCAAAAAATCCAAGTGTGCAAATGTACTGAATGCCCATTCACATACTTAGATGAAAGCGGTCGTTCGCGGCAAAACGCACTTTTTTCTGATTTTTCGGTAAAATTGAGTATTTCTCATGTCCACCTGCAGGGAATTTCACCTCCCAGCAGAATCAAGACCGCACTCGAAAATAGAATACCGCAGCGAATTTCAGCCTCGCAACTTATCCGGTAAGCGAAATATCCACTTCGCTACAAACATCTTTGAAATGCCCTAAGTCATTGCGCAATTGCATGTCGGTACTCATTTTAGGTATATGATTTCCCATATAGGTAAAAAAGATGCTAAGATTTCAACCGCTTCTTTCCAGATATTTGCGAGTTAGTACAGTACCAGGTGGCAAACTTTGACGTGATCGTACCTGCCGCACAAGCGTGCATGACAGTTGAATTTGAAATCTTTAGCTCGCACACGCACAGAGAATAGTTTCAGCTTTGTACCTTGCCTGGTCCGCAATATCGTTTTCCGCCAAAGAAATTTGTATATTTTTTCCGGATGTTTGTACGTGGGGTCTAGGCGCGTATGGGGAAGTTCTTAAAAGGGAGGTGACACACCGGGTAGGAAAATATACCCAAAAATTTCCCAGCCTTCCTGGTTGCTGAGATGAAAATGAGTGACAAAGTTCACTCACTTCCGAACACACGCACACAGACAACCCCTCTATATTATGCAGCATAGCAAAAACACATAAAAATGTGCGGTATTTATTGCACCCTATTAATAATTAATAACAGCACAAGGCAGCACGGAAAAAGTCAACACTCCTCCCTCTGCTGTTTTGTGTGACTTGGAAGTAATTCCGAATGAAAGTACTTAGCTAACAGCAACCACACTCTATCTAAACTGTCGGTAAATATTTCTGCAGATGCGTCTTCACAAGAAATTTTTTAACCAAACCAGACAAGGCGGGAAGCTAAAATATGAAAAGGATGCTTCCTGTCCACTTGCAGCCCCGGCGATTTTAAATCAAGCTTCCACGCGCATAACATTTTATGCACAGGTAAAGGCCAAAAGTGGTCCAAATTTTCCTGCATGTACGATCGAAACGGATTAATCAGTCCTAAGTACTGGCTGCTCTGCTTACTGGTTCAGGCCATCGACCCTAGCCTGGCGGTAAGGAATCACCATCACACAGCACCTTTCAAATGTGCACAGGGTTTGAAGTTAACATTTTGTATTGCAAGACAAAATCAGTGAATGTCGCGGAATAATCACGAAGAGCTGGCAGAAGTGTCGAATAGAATTAAATTATTTTACTTTCTTCACTGACTAACCGAGAAAAAAACTGCTGTAGGAAGATGAGTTGGCAGATTACGGGTAAGGAATAAAGACGGCTAGTCCTCTTCTCTTTATTTTTGTCGCCCTACACCCTCACTGATACGCAAATGTTCCGCCTTGAGTGTGACCTGCAATCGCTGCGTCAGTGCAATGAACCGGAGTAGTGCTGCTTTTCGAGCAAACAGGAAGAAAATAGATCTAATTTCCGAGCAATTATTATGAACGCTAAAGCGCCACAAGAGCAAAGAGATAAGTTTAAGAGAAGACAGGGGAGACTGGGAGGTTAGAGGGAAGTGGCGCTGTCCGTGAATAGTTAGTTGCTTTTGGCGCTTACCATCACTGACTTTTGTCTAAACCAATAAATTTTCCTCTTCAACTCCTGCTCTGACGAATCATTCATTTATTCTCCTAATATGGGCGAACACCAGAAAAGCCAAGACGGTCCGGGCGGTCGATATCGGGATCACATTTTTCTGATGTTATTGGGAAAATCTGACATGCAAAGCTCTCTCTTTTGGTAGACACTACAGGTATCATATCAAGCATGAGCGGAATACTTGTTAGGATATCACAATTCTTCAGATTTTGGCGCAATTATGGAAAGGCCAATTCCTTTCGGTAG